CCACAGTGCCACTTCCAGCCTTTTTTTTTGGTGGGGGGTCCAATCGTGGGGCCTGAACTCTGGACCTGGGTGCTGTCCCTCAGCTCTTCAGCTCAAGCAAGGCTAGTACTTGAGCCATAGCGCCACTTCTGGCTTTTTTCTTTTTGCTTATGTGGTGCTGAGGAATCGAACCCAGGGCCTCACGCATGCAAAGCAAGCGCTCTACCACTGAGCCACCTTCCCAGGCCCAAGGAATGTATGTTCTAGTCAGCTTCAACTTAATACTATAGATAGGGTCTTTTGCTTGTTTTGTTGTTTTGTTTTGTTTTTTTGACATTCCTGGGGCTTCAACTCAGGGTCTGAGCACTGGCCCTGAGCTTCTTTTGCTCAAGCTAGCACTCTACTCCTTGAGCCACAGTGCCACTTCTGGCTTTTTCTGTTTATGTGGTAACTGAGGAATCAAACCCAGGGCTTCATGCATGCTAGGCAAGCATTTTACCACTAAGCCACATTCCCAGCCCTAGATATAGGGCATTTTATAAAGAGACAACATTTATTTTTTACAGTTTTGAAGGCTAAGAAGTTCAATATTGAAGGGCTGACAGCTGACAAAGGCTTCTTGCTGTTTTGTAACAAGACAGAGCAACTGCACAGTGAGTGGGGGAGCAAGAACCAGAAAAAAAAGAGAAACCCAGAACTGCAATAATAGCACCAGTCCACCAGAGGGAGCAGAGCAGCCTGACCCAACCGCCTCTCATAGGCACAACCTGGCAAGGCAGTTGTACTGAAATTAAATTTCCAAACATTAAGTTTCAAACCACAGCAATTATTTTCACTTCTTTAAGTTCTCTCAGTAATATTTTGGTGAAAAAATAAATTGAGAACATTCACTCAGAGTCAACTAGCCAGACTTTGGGGTTAGAAAACAACTGAATCAGCTGGGTGTCAGTGGCTCATGCCTGTGATCCTCACTACTCAGGAGGCTGAGATCTGGGGATTGTGGTTCAAAGTCAGCCCGAGCAGAAATGTCTATGAAACTTTTTTTTTCTTTTTGGATGGTTGTGGGGCCTGAACTCTGGGCCTGGGCGCTGTCCCTCAGCTCTTCAGCTCAAGGCTAGCGCTCTACCACTGGAGCCACACTGCCACTTTCGGCATTTTCTGCTTATGTGGTGCAAGAAAAGCAAAAGAGGGTCTGGGAAGGTGGCTCAGTGGTAGAGCACATGCATGCATGCATGAGGCCCTGGGTTCGATTCCTCAGCACTACATAAGCAGAAAAAGTCGGAAGCGGCTATGTGGCTCCAGTGGTAGAGCGCTAGCCTTGAGCTGAAGAGCTGAGGGACAGCGCCCAGGTCCAGAGTTCAGGCCCCATGACCAGCAAAAAAAAAGAAAAAAAAGAAAGAAAGAAAAAGAAAACAACTGAATCAATCACCAAAGAGCAGGAGCTTAGTGTCAGGACAGTTGGGGGCAAACCCCTGGGGCAAATTCTAATGAAATGTGCTATGTGCATTGGATTGGGAAAGTCACCTTTTGTGATCTAGTGTGAGCAATAATAATAAATTCCTCACAAGTCTCTGGAAGATTAAATGTTAGAGATTAAATGAAATCATGCAGGAAATGTGAGGGACTCAGGCTAGTTGCTGACACACACAGATCAGAGTAAATGTAACTCCCCCACCCCCCACCCCATATGGGGCTTGAACTCAGAGCCTGGCACTGTCCCTGAGCTTTTGCATTCAAGGCAAGCACCATACCAGTTCAGCCAAAGCGCCACTTCCAGCTTTTTCTGTTTATGTGGTACTGAGGAATTGAACCCAGTGCTTCATGCATGCTAGGCAAGCCTTCTACCACTAAGCCACATTCCCAGCCCTTCCCTGGGCTCTTTTTGTTTTGGGAGTTTTGTTTTGTGTTTGTTTTTGTTGGTCATGGGGCTTGAACTCTGGGCCTGGGAGCTGTCCCTCAACTCTTCAGTTCAAAGCTAGTGCTGTACCACTTGAGCCACAGTACCACTTCTGGTTTTCTGGTGGTTTATTGGAGATGAGAGTCTCACAAATTTCCTGCCTGAGCTGGCTTTGAACATGATCCTCAGATCTGAGCCTCCTGAGTAGCTAGGATTATAGGTCTGAGCCACTGATGCCCAGCTAAATGTAACTCATTACTATTCTTGCCACCTCAGTTCCTAAAACAACTCTCATTTTAGTTCTAAGTGTGTGTAATCAGTGTGTATTTGTTTTCTCTCTTCCTTCCTTTTATTTTATTTTTTTTGTCGGTCGTGGGGCCTGAACTCTGGGCCTGGGCGCTGTCCCTCAGCTCTTCAGCTCAAGGCTAGTGCTCTACCACTTGAGCCACAGCACCACTTC